ACAGCCACGAGTATTTTCACAGAAGGAAACATAACGCGGGTGTAATTATGAACTCCTGGTTCTCGTGGGATTCTCCACAGGGTCACAAGCTTAAGGAGAGTCTGACTCCTGTGCTGAACTTGCTGACTGAGAGTGCCCGGGCTCACCGGCAGACAAGGAAGTTCCTTAAAGCTAAGGTACTGTATTTGGTTCAGGTAGGATCCGAAACGTCCTTTGAACCAGCAAGCTATGAAGCAAGCCTTGCCCTGTTCTATAAGCCTAGAAATGAATATTGGAGTGTACAGGATAGGCCACTCAAACCTGTCCAGGGATGAGAGAGAATCCTGCACTTGTGCAGTACGTTAAACAACAACTCACAGAGGTAGGCTACCCTCTCTGGATTCAGAACAATATGCCACCAGAATCTCTACAGTAGTCTATAATCCCCTCCAGCTCAGAGCAGAGATTCTGGTGGCATATTGTTCTGAATCCAGAGAGGGTAGCCTACCTCTGTGAGTTGTTCAAACAGTTGCTATTATTGCGTGAATAGTGTGCACGAACTTACAATGTACATGATATTCTTATTCTTGGTTCCTTTCATGATATTGTGGGGAGTGTCCTTTAAAGTATGGGAATACTGCTCCTTGTGTCTTCAGAGAGACATCTTCTGTCCCAGCCGTCCAGTCTTCTAGATGCTGCTCATGCGACCCGTGTAGTCCTCATGCAGCATGTGGTGGGGAAGGTGAAGTCCTTGAGAAGCATAGCTAGTGAACAGAGAGAAGGTCCTTGGTGTGTGCGACTGCTTTGATTTTTCTGAACTCTGAGGCTACTCAGTTCAAAGTTACGATAGGTTTTGCCAAAATAGCACACTCGTTGTATATTAAATACTTTCTCATGACGTCCAGTACGTGACGCAGCATTAGTTCAGCAGCGCATGCTCACTTATTATTCTTATTCTTTGCCGCATCTGTATTTTGCAGACTCACTAGTGTGTTGAACTTCTTTGTAATGGAGACTAGTCTAAACTGGATGGTCGGCAGTCACAGGGATTAGGAAAACTGTGGCTTTGCCTGACCTCTGAAATCCTTTCTCTGCCCTGTCCTGGAGGTTCCTGGGGCCTCAGAGCGGCTTGTCACTTCCTTCCACTCAAAGCCCTGCCTTGGTTGGTGTCAGCAACCCTCAGTACTTTCTTCTGTATTGCTGCAGTGAAAATGCTGAGCCCCTTGCAAAGATCTAGAGCAGTGGTGGCGAACCTATGGCACGGGTGCCAGAGGCGGCACTCAGAGCCCTCTCTGTGGGCACACATGCCATCGCCCAGACCATCATTAAAGTGTCGAATTCTCTGCCAAATAATTTTAAATCAATGAAAGCATTTGGGATTGCTTTACCTTACTTTGTTTGGATCATCTTAATGTATGAGTTGTTTTTTTCTAAAGTAAAACCTCAGTATTCAGGTTAAATTGCCGTGTGGGCACTTTGCGATAAATAAGTGGGTTTTGGGTCGCTGTTTGGGCACTCGGTCTCTAAAAGGTTTGCCATCACTGATCTAGAGGATCTGGAGTGAGGTGGATTCACAGAACCAGTTAGAATATGTGGTTTGGGTTGAGATTAGCATTTTGATAAAGCACTCATTGGGGTTGCTTCATATCTATTTGTTTTGGATAATTATGCCCTGCTTTTCTCCCCAATGGAGACCCAAAGTATATCACTTTCCCCTCCTCTAGTTCATCCTTGCAACAGCCTTGTGAGTAGGGTTGCCAGCTTCCAGGTGGGGCCCTGGAGATCTCCTGAAATGAAAACTGATCTCTGGACTGCAGAGATCAGTTCCCCTGGAGAAAATGTCTGCTTTGGAGGGTGGACTCCTTGGCATTATACCCTACCCCCCCCCCCAAGGTGCTCCACCCCAAACCTCCAGGCTGTAAGAGTGAATGACTGGCCCAAGGTTGCCTAGCAAGGTACTGTGGTAGAATGGAGGTTTGAACCTGAGGCTCCAAAATCCTAATCTGACACTGTTCACTGGATCATGACGACTTTACTACATGGCCAGATAGCTGTGAAGCGGCTAGTTTCCTGCTTCACCACAGATCTGTTTTTGGAAGTTTGCAGTAGTGCCACGAGTGTATGCATAGCTCTGTTTCATGGGCACAGCATCATTACAGATCCATAAGCCCTTTAACATGTTCAGATGATTGCACAGTGATTATGCCAAATGTCTCACTTGCGTCAAAGTTTGCACGATACGCTGGTTTTTTCCTCTCGCTCAAAATGTGGTAGGTTATTACTAGGAAAGTCCCATTCTCCCCAGTTAGAGCATTTATTGTTACTGAGTTTGCTGGAAGTTCTTTGGTCTCTTACTGACTGTTTTGGGAGCTATGATAATTGGCGACTGACGTGAATCTCTCCCCACACTCACGGTATTTGCAAAGTCATTTTCGTTTTCAAAAGATCTTTTTATGCTGGCCAGTGCCTCCAGGGCAATTTCTGTATGTGAAGTTCTAGTTGAACAATATTTTGGTACAGTGCTTGTAGGGCCTCATGAGCCCTAGCTTGACTGGCAGGCGAGCCTGTTAACACCAGCCTTCCCTTTCCTTGTGATTGTAGGTGTTACCCCCACTGCGTGATGTGAAAAATAGACCTGAGGTGGGGAATTTACTGAGGAATAAGCTTGTGCGCCTCATGACTCACATTGACACCGATGTGAAACATTGTGCAGCAGAGTTCCTCTTTGTTCTCTGCAAGGAGAGTGGTGAGTCTTCAGCATTTCTCTTGTTCCCCTGGCACAAGTTATCCTGTATTATATACGTCCACTGTCTGAAAAGGGAGCTGGGTGGATACGATAATCTCAATTAGATGTTTAATGTCAGGCCCGGTTGACTACCATGTGGAGCTAACAGCCAAAGTCAAATCAAACATTCCAGTGGCAAAAGACCATTGCCTAGGCATGTAGTGAATTAAATGGAGAGGTGCTGAGCATTGGCTGGGGTACTTTCAAAGAAAGAAAAGTCCCAGATGAAAAAGGGAAGGAAATAAAAGCTTACAAATTGATAGCGCATAAGAACTTGGCCATTACCATTACTATAATAAATTTTCTTCAGTATTGTGGCAGCAAAGGCAGTTTCTCATGGTACATCTTCTAAAACTGGTATGTCTGTGTTCCTCTTAAAATATGCTTCGGCCTGTGGATGTTTGCCCACGTGATGCTTTTCACACTTTATCTAGCGTGGGTGTTAATATTTGGTTGAAAAAAAATAACATGGGACATGGCCAGAAGTTGGGGAAGAATCAAACTTGTTGAAATTAATGTGAGGGGTTTATACAATGAAAATCTCTTCATTGGGTCAAAAAGTATACATTGGCTCTAAATATGGATAACTGCTTGAGGAGGTTACAAGAAACTGCTTCCTTGAACATTGACTTGACCAGCAAAAACAATCAAACAAAACCTCCATGCCTTACTAACATTTGAATTCAACAGCTCTCTTTAGTCGTTCAGGTTTTCCAGGGCTTTTTTTGTAGAATAATAGGCCACACCCAACAGCAGAAACTCATTAGCATATTAGGCCACACCCTGATAGCACATCACATTAGCATATTAGGCCACACCCATTGTTACCAGAAGTGTGGTCATCCAGCCACACCCACCTTTTGCTTCTTATTCTATTTACTTTGTTTATTGTCAAAACCCAGGGCTTTTTTTGTAGCAGGAACTTCTTTGCATGTTAGGCCACACACCCCTAATGTAGCCAATCCTAATGAGTTTCTGCCGTTGGGTGTGGCCTATTATGCTAATGAGTTCCTGCTGGGTGTGGCCAACGTGGGAGTCAGCCGGAACTCCGTTCCTGTGTGTTCCTGCCCAAAAATAGCCCTGATTTTCTATAGGGTAGATTCCTAATGCAAGCAGAAGAATGTCACCCATTTTCATTGCTCCAACAGTGGCACGGTTTGTGAAATACACAGGATATGGGAATGCTGCTGGGCTTTTGGCAGCACGAGGCCTCATGGCTGGTGGCCGGGCAGATGGTGAATACTCTGAGGATGAAGATACTGATACAGAGGAGTACAAGGAAGCAAAACCCAAGTATGAACCCATTTATATTTACAGCTTATACAGGCATGGCTGCTAGATTTCTATCTATCTATCTAGTTCTGCTCATATGGCTACCACCTTAAGCAGAAATTAGAACCAAAGAAAATATTTTAGAAGACCTTACTCAGTGTATTATTTCTCTCATATCTGATTATTGCGCCCAGGGGTCATTTCGTAGAAAAAGAGCTAGGGGAACTCATTAGCATAACTCATTAGCATATGCCACACCCCCTGACATCACCGGAAGTGTGTCATAAGGCCACACACCCCGCCCCCAACGGTCCCGGCCGCCACCGC